GTTCTGTCCACGAGTCTATGGTTCTGTCCACGAGTCTGTGGTTCTGTCCACGAGTCCGTGGTTCTGTCCACGAGTCCGTGGTTCTGCCCACGAGTCCATGGTTCTGTCTGCTCGTATAAGGTTCTGTCCACGCGTCTGTCCCGGCGTCTATGATCCGTGCTTGGTACTACAGATGAAGTCTACACATCAGACTCATTCTAATGTGAGTAAAGTGTCTTGCCTAAGGACACAACCCTAGTTTGGCACTTTACAGCCGCCCCACTGTGGCACCTGGGGTTCCCAGAGGTCTCCCATCACAGTACTAACCAGGCCCTACCCTGCTTAGCTTCAGAGTTACTATTTACATTTGTTATGTATTATACATATACGTTTGTTTTGTTATGTATTTTTATATTACTTTTTTGAAGTGTAGTCGGGAACCACTGATAACTGTCTGAAAACTTATTGGGGAGTTCCACAAGGCTCGATCTTGGGTCCATTGTGATTTGTTATGTACATACTTCCACTTTTTACGCTTTTTGTTATCGTGTTTCCCACTTTCACCTTTCACTTCCTGAATTCAGCAAGATTAGAAGAATGTTGGAAGACGAAGAAAAGCAGAAATCATAGAATCATTATTATAGATGCACCGTGAGACGAATACTGCTTCGTTCATTCCATCTTCCACGGAGCCAGTTCCATAAAAAACAGCCAAATGGATTTATGTTCCAGACTGAGTGAGTCACAGGCCAAAGTGGTGGAGTTCAATATCTGTAATGGACTCCGACGTGCGCTGAGCGGCTCTGATGTCGACGATGAGGTGAGACTGAAGGAACGAGTCCAAAAAATGTAGACGGCTTCATTAAAACGTTGAGGATTCACAAAAGAAAACACAGTGTCTGCTCGAGACTGCCCCCTGTGGCTCATGTGAAAACAAAACATTACAATACATTAAACTGGACTTAATACTGAAAAAACGTCTCTTTGTTTTTGGGCCGGCACTACTTCTTAATGATGCTAAAGTTAGAGATTTAATTTAATTTTAGATACTGTTCATGTATCTTGAGCCGTGTGCTTCTCATTCCTACTGTTCTGTACCTTGTGATGCAACACTGACATTTCCCAGATGTTATGAATTATTAGTACAGTCTTCAGTGGCTGGATCTTGCAGGAGAGGAACAACAGATTATCTCTGCACAGATGAAGCTGCGGTGATCAAGGCTGCGCCACTTTGGCAAATTAACGATGATTTCTCGCCGAACTGCAGTTTTTTAAAATGTGTTTTTGTTTGGAGCGAAATTACAAAACAACTTCAAGAGAGTTCATTTTGTAAAGGTCGAAAGTACAAGTTTACTGCACAAACTTTCCATGTAAGCTGTCTCACTTGGAAACAGATCAATTTCAAGTCAGTATCACGACCAACCTTTGGGTTTTCCCCCGGGTCAGCTCTATTCACCACAGCGGGCCAATGTTGCATATCTGCAACACCCCAGAATGCATTCCTCCCATTGTCTGTCTAAACAAAGAGTCAGGACTGTATATGACTACCCCATATGATCATTCGCCCCAAATATAAGATTTGTCCTGAGTTAAAACTAACACTGTTCAGTCCACTCCTAACGTTTCACAACATTCAAAGCCCAGAGCAACTTCTAGCAAGTGATTAAAACTGCAAGCGGCATTGATGGCCCTATTGTCACATCTCTCATGCAGTTGTTCCCGGGTCAGAATCAACTGAGTCGCCCTTAAACACTTCTGTGACCGTGAGGAGGCCCCAGACTACTGAAGCTGCTATAAACATGTGGATGTTGTAACTGTTATAATAAAGAGAAGTGAGAGACCTATAGAGATGGTCCAGACGGCGGCGATCTTCAGCATGGCCTTGGTCCTGGAGTTGAAGCGGCTGTGCTCGATGGGGTTGCGGATGGCCACGTAGCGGTCCAGGGAGATAGCGCACAGGTGCATGATGGAGGCGGTGGAGAACAGCACGTCCAGGTAGATCCAGATGGGACAGAGGCCGCTGGGCAGAGGCCACGCATAATCTGAGGAGAGAGAGGTTCATGGCGTCAGAGGAGATACAGGCTGGGGAAAAGCAAACATGTGAAATTTTGATATTTTTGGGCCACAATTCATTATTTAGGAGAAGAAAGTCCTTTTTTCATACCTCAGTGAGGACATTTCAGTTTTGATGAAAACACATTCACACATCAAGGCAGGCACTTCCGCACTCCTTTTAGGCAAAGTAGGTTAAGTGTCTTTTCCTATTACAAAGAGTAAGCACTGAAACAAGCGCCCCCTTGTGGATGTACATACAAATGTAAAATACCAGAGTGAACTCAGAGAAAACACAAAAGTGAAACAGACAATTATTTCATACAATATTGTGATACTTTGCTCTAATGTATTGATTTATTCATGTGCACAAATATATGTTTATGTGTATATGTATATGTGTATATGTGTATATGTATATATGTATATGTATATGTATATGTGTATATGTATATGTATATGTGTATGTGTATGTGTATATGTAAATGCATATGTATATGTTTATGTGTATATGTATATTTATATATGTATGTGTATGTTTATGTGTATGTGTTTGTGTATATGTATATGTGTATATGTATATATGTATATGTATATGTGTATATGTATATGTGTATATGTATATGTATGTGTATGTATATGTGTATGTATATGTGTATGTCTATGTGTATGTCTATGTGTATGTATATGTGTATGTGTGTATGTATATGTTTATGTGTATGTATGTGTATGTGTATATGTGTATGTGTATATGTATATGTATATATGTATATGTATATATATATATGTCCATCCATCCATCCATTTTCTTCCCCTTAATCCATTTCTGGGTCGGGGGGGTGGCAGTCAGAGCTGCACCCAGTACACAAAGCACCAGCCCCTCCCTGATCCTCCTGCAGGTGGTGAATCCACAGGAGCATATATATGTATATGTATATATGTTTATGTATATTTGTATATGTATATGTATATATGTATATGTATATATGTATATGTGTATATGTATATGTATATGTTTATATGTATATATGTATATGTCTGTGTATGTATATGTATATGTATATGTGTATGTGTGTGTGTATGTGTATGTGTATATGTATATATGTATATGTGTATATGTATATGTAAGTGTATGTATATGTGTATGTATATGTGTGTGTGTATGTGTATGTATATGTGTATGTGTATGTGTATGTGTGTATGTATATGTTTATGTGTATGTATGTGTATGTGTATGACAGAAAGGCAAAAGAGCTGAGTTCTGTTCTTGAATCTTTTGGTCTCACTCAGCATGTGAGTGGCCCCACCCACAGCAGAGGGCACACTCTAGACCTTTTAGTTACTAAGGGGGTGAATATTTCAAATGTAAACGTGGTCGATGTTGCGCTTTCGGATCATTTTTGTGTATTTTTTGACATGTGTTTCACTAACAAACCACCAGTGGACTCTGCAACTGTACGAAGAAGACACATAAATGAAAATACGGGTGAACTATTTATGGGAATGATAAACTTTGAGAATGCATCGTATTCTACTGTAGATGAACTGTTTAACTCTGTCACCTCTAGTGTTTTGAATGTTCTGGACACCATCGCTCCTGTGAAGGTTAAAACAGTGAAAAATAAGCAGAAGGCGCCGTGGACTAAAGCAGACTCGGTCAGGGCACAAAAGAGAGAGTGCCGGAGGGCGGAAGTGGCGCAAGTCCAACCTCCAGGTTGACTACGAGATCTTCAAAGATAAGTTGTGCGAGTTTAACCAGGTGCTACGTAGTACGAGAGAAAGGTATTTTTCTGAAATGATTGAAGGCTGCAGCAACAATCTGCGTGTTCTGTTTTCAACAGTTAATAGATTAACAAACCCCCCTGTTCAGATGCCATTAGAGCTAACTTCCAAACGTAAATGTAATGAGTTTGCACATTTTTTCAATGACAAGGTTCAAGGCATCAAAAACGCCATTGTCTCCAATCCACAGATAACCATCCAACAGCCTAAAAGGCTCTTTGAGCTAACTTACTTTGCACCTGTAAATGATCAAACTGTCCAAGAGATAATCTCCAGTCTGAGCGCCTCCACATGTAGCCTGGATGTACTACCCACTAGATTTCTAAAGTCTGTTCTGAGCAGTCTGTTACCTTCACTCACACAGATAGTAAACATGTCCCTTCATTCTGGAATATTCCCAAAGGCCCTGAAAACTGCAGTCATCAGGCCCCTGCTTAAAAAGAGCAGTCTAGATGCTACGGTACTTAACAACTACCGTCCCATCTCAAATCTGCCATTTATGGGGAAAGTCCTTGAAAAAGTTGTCTACCAACAGCTAAATAGATTTCTTATAATCAACAACTCATTTGATATGTTTCAGTCCGGCTTTAGACCCCACCACAGCACTGAGACTGCTCTCGTCAAGGTTACAAACGATATCCGGCTAAACACTGACGCAGGCAAAGTCTCAATCCTAATCCTGTTAGATCTGAGTGCTGCCTTTGACACTGTCGACCATGAGATCCTCTTACAGAGACTAGAGAACTGGGTTGGCGTCGCTGGCACCGCCCTAAGTTGGTTTAGGTCTTACCTTGAAGACAGGAAGGACTTTGTGGAGATTGGAAACTGTGTCTCAGATCATATGGCCCTGACCTGTGGAGTACCACAGGGGTCGATCCTGGGACCTCTTCTTTTCAATCTCTACATGCTGCCGTTAGGTCAGTTAATACGCAGAAACGAAGTTTCCTATCATAACTATGCAGACGACACTCAGATCTATGTCTCACTGACTGCAGGAGAACATGGACCAGTGGACTCACTCCTTCACTGTATCCAACAGATCAGTGAGTGGATGCAAAACAACTTCCTTCAGCTAAACGCAGACAAAACTGAAATGATTGTCTTTGGTCCCCAGAAACAAAGAGAGAGCGTCATCTGTCATCTACAGTCTCTCTCCCTAAAACCTTCAAACAAGGTCAGAAATCTAG